TGATAGAAGTATTGCTACCCCATCTTTTTTTTTTTTTTTCCATTTCCATGTGCATGAGATGTCTTTTTCCATTCCTTTATTTTCAGTCTGTGTGTGACTTTTTCTGAAATGGGTCTCTTGTAGGCAGAATATGTATTAGTCTTGTTTTCTTATCCATTCAGCCACTTTATGTCTTTTGATTGGAGTATTTAATCCATTTACATTTAAAGAAATTATGGATTAGGTATGTAGTTATTTGCAATTTTGTCATTCATATTTTTAATCTTTTTTCTTCCTGTTTTTCTTGAAGCTTTTTTAACATTTCTTGTAATACTGTTTGGTCATGTTTTTCTTGTCTGGGAAGTTCTTTCTGTTTCCTTTGATTCTAAATGATAGCCTTGCTGATTAGAATTATCGTGGTTGTATGTCCTTGCTTTCACCACTTTGAATATTTCCTGCCAATCCCTTTTGGCCTGAAAAGTTTCTGTTGAGACATCAACTGACAGTCTTTTTTTTTTTTTTTTTAGAAAGGGAGGGAGGGAGGAGGGGGGTAGAGAGAGAGACAGACAGACGCATCAATTTGTGGTTTCACTTATTTATGCATTCATTGGTTGGTTGTTGTATGGGCCCTGACTGGGGATCAAACCCACAAACTTGGTGTATCAGGGCGATGTTCTAACCAACTAAGCTACCTGGCCAGGGCTCAGCTGACAGTCTTAAGAGAGCTCCCCTGTGAGTAACTGACTGTTTTCTCTTGCTGATTTTAGCATTCTGTCTCTGTCTTTAACCTTTGCCATTTTAATTATGTTGTGTGTTGGGGTGGGCCTTGTTGGATTCATCTTGTTTGGGCTCTTTGCACTTCTTGAGTTGTTTGTGTGTTTTCTTTGCCAGGTTAGGGAAGTGTTTTGTATTATTTTCTTAAGTAGGTTTTCAGTCCTTTGCTCTCTCTCTTTGTCCTTCTGGTAGGTACCCCTGTGGTGCAAATGTTGGTACACTTGATGGTGTGCCCAGAGGCCTCTTAAACTATCCTTTTTTTTTTGGACCTTTTTTCTTTTTGCTGTTTCAGTTTTGTGTTTTCCATTACCTTATTTTCCAAATTCAGTCCTCTCCATCTAATCTACTGTTGATTCCCTCTAATGTATTCTTCATTATAATTATTGCATTTTTAATTTCTGAATGGTTCTTTTTTTGTATTCTATCTCCATTTTTGTTTCCTATCTCTTTATTGAAGTTTTCAGTGAGTTCATCTACTCTTCCCCTAAATTCACTGAGGATTATTATGACCCGTGCTTTGAACTCTGCATCTAGTAGATAGATTGTTTGTCTCAATTTTGTTGAATTCTTTTTCTGGAGTTCTGTTCTTTCATTTGGGATGTGTTCTTTGTCTCTTCATTTTGATGGCTTCTCTGTTTGTTTCTATGTATTAGGTAGATTTGCTATGTCTCCTGGTCTTGGTAGAGTGGCCTTATATAGTAGGTGTCCTGTGGGGCTCAGTGGCACAGTCCCCCTGGTCACCTGAGCTGGTAGCCCCCTGTTAGTCTCTCGTGTGGATTGTGTGCACCCTCCTGCTGTAGGTGAGCCTTGATTGCTGTGCCATATCCATGGGAGGGATTGACCCTCAGACTGTGAGGATTGGCCATGTCTACAGCAGAGGAGCTGTTGTTCAGGGTCTGACCCTGCGGAGCAGGATTTGCTTTACCAGGGTTCTGGGGTGTGCCAAATCCACCCTTTGAGTGAAGGTGTCATTTGTAGAGGTGGCTGGATGGCGGTCTGGTGTGGTCTGAAGCTGGCCATGGGGCGTGTTTGTTCTGGGGCCTGATGGGAGGGGGCTCTGGTGCAGATCAAGGTCAGCTGCTGCTTGTGTCCAGCCCAGCATTATGTGGTGTTGGCTACAAAGTGATCGGCGACAGGTGCCACTTGTGGTGGCCTTGGAGGTACTTGGGAGAGGCTAAGCTGGGAACCATGGCTGCCTGCCACTAGTGCCCAACTAGGAGCCACTTAGGGGGAAGTATGGGGCATGCTGAGGCCAGCAGCTGCTTGTTTGGGATTTGTGAATGTTTGAAAGGTTTTAGTAATGTCTGCAGCACAGGCTGAGACAGGCCATTTGTATGGGAATATCTCTGGTAGCAGCTCAGGTGGGACTCAAGTTGCATGGGGTTAGGTCTCCGGGAATCACCGGAGTGGGGCTAACAGTGTTAGCCAGGTTGATGGAGATTGAAGGGCCGGTGCCCACCTGTTCCAAAGGTTGCGTGGGGGGTGGTGCTCAAAAAAGGAACAAAGTGGGCTGAGAGAACAGCCTCTCCAGTGCTGCACCTCAGAATGAGTGAGTCTGTCAGGGAGTAAATCTGTGTGCATGCCCTTTAAGAGGAACATCTGGTACTCCAGCAGCTGTTTGTCTCACTCAGCCACAGTCCCTGCTGCTTTACCCAGCAGGAAATTTTGGGGACTTCTTTTTGCAGCCCTGGAACCCTAGGCTGGGGAGCCCAGTATCAGGCTTGGACCCCTCTCTCATCAAGAGGGGACCTCTGCAGCCAAGATATCCCTCCTGTTTCTCAATCATGGGTGGGGAGCCTCCATCCCTCCTACCAGTCTTGAAATGGTTTCTTCTGTATATCCTTAGTTACAGAGCTTCTGTTGACCTACTCTTTAGGTGGTTCTCCATGATGGTCATTCTGTAGTTTAGCTGTGATTTTGATGTGCTGGTGGGAGAGGGCAAGCCCAGTGTATACCTACCCCACCATCTTGATTGGAAGTCTCGTATCTGGGCTATTTGATCATTATGTCTGTGAGACTCATCCATGTTGTCCTATGCACCAGTAGTTACATTTTAATGCTTTGTATGTTGTATTTGATGGACATACCGTGATTTATTTATCTCTTCTACAGTTGAGGGATACTTGGGTTGTTTCTGGGTTTGGGCTATTGCGAATGAATAGTACATTTTCTAACATTCTAGTACATGTCTAGTACATGTTGGACATGTAGATTTCTCTTGAGTGTATCTATGGGTGAAATCACAGTTTTTGCATATGCTTATTTCTTGTTCTACCAGCTATTTCCATTGGCTATTATTCTTTAAATATTTATATATGTTAGACCTTCTTCACATTGCATACATATGGCTTCTTTAACCTTTCTTTTGTATTTTCTGTTTTTTAGCTTTATTTCCTTCAGATCTGTGTTCTAGTTCATTTATTTTTCTCTTTAATTGGGCCTAATCTGTTGAAATCCGTTGAATTTTTAATTAAGGTAATTTTTTTTCAGTTTGTTACATCCATTTGATAATTTTTCATTGTTTTCAGTTCTCTGAAAAATTTTCTTTTAAATCTCTGAAGAGATCAAGTATATTTTAAAGTCTGTCTCTAATAATTCACATACCTGGATCCATTGTAGATCTCTATTACCTGTTTTTTATCATTTCCTTCTGTTTTTATTATATCATTTTCTTGTGCATTTTTATTTGAATGCCAGACATTGTAAGTGAAAAATGTTGAAATAATATTTCCTTATAAGATGAGAGCAACTTATAAGGAACAAGTGGTACTGACAGTCCTGGATCATCTTAATTCAGTTATAGAAATTGAGATTAGAGGAAGTTGTGAAGGTTGTATTATTGTAAATTTCTTTGTTACCCCCAGATATGGCCCTTCGGGGGCACAATCTAAAGTGCAGAGCTTCTCCTGGCTGAGTGGCTCGGTTGGAGCCTTGTCCCATACACCAAAGGGTTGCAGGCTTGATCCCTGGCCAGAGCATGTACCTGCGTTGTGGGATTGTTTCCCAGTTGGGGTGCATGCAGAAGACAGCCAGTCAGTGTTTCTCTTTCACATCTATGTTTCTCTCCCAACCCTCTATAAGAATCAGTTAAAAACAGCCCTGGCTAGGGTAGCTCAGTAGCTTGATCACTGGCCTGTGAACCAAAGGGTCGCTGGTTCAATTCCCAATCAGGGCACATGCCTGGGCATCAGGCCAGGTCCTCAGTAGGGGCCATGTGAGAGGCAACCACACATTGATGTTTCTCTTCCTCTCTTTCTCCTTCCCTTCCCCTCTGTCTAAAAATAAATAAAAAAGAATAAAAACATTTCCTCAGGGAGGATTAAAAAAATAAAGTGCGGAGTTTTTACCAGGGGTCCCTTTGCGTAGTGGATCCTGAATTCTTAACTTTTACTACCCTATCTTAGAGCTCTCAAACACTCTGCTCAGCTTCTCATTCTCACATCTGTTTCTTTGGAAACTGGTACATTCTTCTAGAGAAGAGCTGTTCCGATGCTGCACTCAACAATCTAAGTGGCCTTATTCTGGTCCTGGGATCTGTCATTCTTTTTGCTTTGTTCTGCGGTGCCTTCAAGTAGATGTCTTTAATATTTTGGTCTCATTTTCCTAATTCTCAATAGAAAGGTTGCTTTACATTATCCAAATCACTACTACTACTGGAAGCAGAATTCTGATAATTTTTAAATGTCTAAACAAGTTTAGTTTGATTTATTTTATAATTCTTATGTATGAGTCATCAACTTTCTTTCACATAAACCCTTCCTGAGGAACATTAAAACTAATTCATGGGAGTTTGGAGTTCAGTGATGCAATCATTTATTTGTTTATTGCTTTTAGTTAATCCTCATAGAAGGTTTCAGCTATTCAGAAAAGATTCATTTATCCTTTAAGCTGTGTGGTTTTTTGTGGACAGAGTTTCAGTTTTTATTAATTTTTAGTTTCTTTAAGATTAATATGCATAACTAGGTCACATGGATTACTGTCTGTGTCTAGAGACCCATATAACGCTGTTTGCTCCTGTATGGCAGCACATTACCCTGGGGACTGTGGTACTGCTTTGTGTTGTCTCAACGCCTGAGGCTTTGTACACAGCAGGTGCACACATACCTGTTGAATGAGTGATGAGTGGGTTACGAGGAACTAATAAAATGTAATTCTGTACATTAAATAAGCAGAGAGAGAAGGGTTAGTTTCAGAATAACCAGTTTTCTAACTGTTATTTCTGCGAATGCTTTTTTTTTTTTTTTAAGATCTCTGCACTTTTCCTAAGAGCCCAAACATCTGAGATCTTACTTGAAGAGTTACAACAGGGGTTTTCCCAAGCGAAGAGGGATGTTCAGGAACAGATGGTAAGTTAACATTTAAAGAAACGTTTACTATGTTAAATGTCCTTTTGTTCTGTCTTGAATTGTCTTTGATATGAATTTATTTCCCAGGCCAAAGTGATAACTGTTAATGTTCTCCAGGGCCTAAAGGACATCAGTAATGGACAAGAGTATGTAGACATTATTAGGTAAAAACACTATTTCTTTTTTAAGCCTACCTCCTGACCCCCCCCAATATTCTAATTTTTCACTTATATTTTTCTGGTTTGGGAATCCTAAAGAGATTAAACTATGGGCCACCATTTAATTTTCAGTTCTAAATACTAAAAATTGAAATCTCTCAAAGCCCTAGCAGGTGCAGCTTATAAGCAGTCATGCTTTTCCTGGACAGCTGATTTGCTTAAAATAGCCTCATAATTGCACATGAGTTATGATGAAACATGCACCATATTGCTGTGGTACTGGGGGACTTAGAAAAGGCCATTAATTTTGAGATGGATGGGGGTAGAGAGCTTCTTGAAGAGGTGGCTGGAACCTTTGCAAAATAGTTGACCAGATTTGGGCCTCCTCAGTAAGTAGTTTGCCTTGTTCTTCCTTTTCTTTCAAAGTTGGGACCCTGCATCTGATGGCCCTTAGTAAATTATAGCATAGTTGGCTCCTGGGATATCCTACAGAGTTGCCTCTCGTACAGCTCTTTCAGGGATGGCAAAAAAAAAAAGAAAGAAAGAAAGAAAGAAAGGCAAGCCTCAGGTCGTGTGGTGGTGGTTTGTTTGTTTTTCATTGGTATTGGATCAGTATCTGAAATACCATTTGAGCTGATTCCTAGCCCTGGTCTGTGGGGAAGCATCTCATCCTAATCATTGACCAGAGAGAGTTTCATGATTCTTCATGAATTAAATAATATGAAATAATAATCATTGATCTAAAAACCACTGTGTTAAATTCTGACAGAGATTCATAGTGTTAGCCTTCTTACATTCTTCTGCCTCCTCTCATCCTTTTGCTTATCATCGTTTTAAACCCATTGATTTTGCCAACATTTTACAAAGTTGATTCCTCTTAAAATGAACGTGTTGCAGTTAACATTGAAGAATGATTGAAATTAAGGTTGAGTACCTTACCATTTTCTTGAAATTACCATTAAAGGTTTTTATGTTGAGAAAGAAAAACTCAACTTCTTTTTGTTCCTTTTTTATTGAATATATTGGGTTGATATTGGTTAATAAATTTATATAGGTTTCAGGTGTACAATTCTATAGTACATCATTTGTAATCAGCATACTGAGAAACTCAATTTCTTATGCTGCTTCAGAGAAGAGTAGCTAGGATAGTGTTGGGATCTAAATATTTCCTCCTAACTTTTTATTTTGAAAAATTTCAAACTTATAGAGAGGCTTAATGGATGAACACTCAAAATCTTTATTTAGATTTACCAGTTGTTAATATGTTACCATATTAACATAACAAGTCCAAACTAAAAAATGTATACTCAGAAGTTGCACTTCCATTCCCTATTTCTTTCACCCTGTTATCATCCGTTCCCATCCATGATCATTTAAATTTATTTTTTCTCTTTCTGTTTTTTGTCTTTACAAGCAAATATACACATATTATTCTTTCCCTTCTTCCATACCTATAAGGTAGTGGGATGCTAATATTTTGTTGTAAATGGGTTGAAAGTGCGCTTAAAGCACAGCTGATTCTCATTTAAAGATAAATAAGAGCCAGTAGAATTAACCAAAGTTTATGCATGACCCAGCCTGCCTGCCAGCAGTTGATTTGTCCTTCAGGATCCAGTGATCACCTCTGGGAAATGTCCCCTAGTTAGGTACCCCGTGTCCTTTTATCACTGCTGTACCCACTCTGTGACAGCACTTGTAAAACAATTGGTAATTTTTGGTTTACTTTATCTTTCCCTCTACTGCACCATGAGTTTCTGCAGGGCAGTCTGTCTTTTATTCTCCATGGGCATCAAAACATCTAGCAGAGTGTAGTAGCTACTCAATCAGTATTTGGATGAGTGAGTAATCTAAACTTATGTATGTAAAACAGTAGAAGTTAAATATTTTTGTAGAATTTTATATTCAAATTAGTTAGAATAACTTTTATGTTGATACAAATTCATGTGAAGTACCAAAAATTGTTTTATACATCAGCAAGCAGAAGTAGGAACTTGTCCCAATTTAAGAATCAGCTTCTCAAGGGTCCTAGATTTCCTAAACATGTATCCTCTTGAGGACGTCTAATAAAGGGGTTCTTAGGCCATTCACAGTGATCCTGAGCTTGAACATAGGTATATGTAATGAAAAATGAAAACACTGCTTTTTGCTTCTCCGTACGTCTCCTTGCTTCCTGTTGAATGGGTGCTGTCAGGAAATAGTTGTCTGGGAGTGTGTGCTCTATTTGATGTAAATCTTAATTGTGTCAGACACTTTGATCTACCAAGAGATACTGTTCCTTCTGTAGTTCTGGGATGGGAGGAAGAGATTCATTACTGTTAGGCTTTTGGTAGAAGTAGTGGAGAATGAGCTCAGATAATTTGCTTCATTGCTGTTCCCTCTGTATCTGTAAAGGCTGCAGGTCCAAAAATCTCTGAGCTGCTATTTGTCAGTCTCACAGAGCTCAGCCCTCATTTGATTTGACCTTGTATTTCTCTGGTGTAGCTATCAGCAGATAGGATTTAACTTTTGGTCTGTGATTAGTATCTCTCTCTATTTTAGGCAGTGCTGATGCAGTCACGGGAACAGGTTTCAGAAGAGCTGGTGAGGTTACAAAAAGATAATGACAGTCTTCAGGGAAAGCATAGCTTGCATGTGTCCTTACAGCAAGCAGAAGACTTCATTCTCCCAGACACTATAGAGGTAACTTATTTTTGACATGATCAAAATTGTAAACAAGTACATTTTCTGAAATGGCAATAAATTCTTTTTTAAAACAGGCTTTATTGAGGTATAATTAACATACCAAATAATTCACTCATTTAAAATGTTTAATTCTGTGGTTTTTATTTTATATATATATATATTTTTTTAATTGATTACGCTATTACAGTTGTCTCATTTTTTTTATCTCCCCTTTATTCCCCTCTGCCCTGCACCCCCTCTCCTACCTACAACTCCCCACTCCCCCTTTGTTCATGTCTGTGGGTCATACATATAAGTTCTTTGGCTTCTCCATTTCCTGTACTATTCTTAACCTTCTGATATTTTGTACCTACTATTTATGCTGCTTATTCCCTTTACCTTTCCCTCATTCTCTTCCTTCCCCCATCCCTCTGATAACCCTCCATGTAATGTCCATTTCTGTGATTCTGCTCTAGTTGTTTGTTTTTGTTTTTGTTTTTTAGGTTCAGTTGTTGATAGTTTGTTGTCATTTTACTGTTCATAGTTTTTTATCTTCTTTTTCTTAGATAAGTTTCTTTAACATTCCATATAATAAAGGCTTGGTGATGATGAACTCCTTTAACTTGACCTTATCTGGGAAGCACTTTTATCTGCCCTTCCATTCTAAATGATAGCTTTGCTGGGTAGAGTAATCTTGGATGTAGGTCCTTGCCTTCATAATTTTGAATACTTCTTTCCAGCTCTTTCTGCCTGGAAGGTTTCTTTTGAGAGATCAGCTGATAGTCTTATGGGCATTCCTTTGTAGGTAATTGTCTCCTTTTTTCTTGCTGCTTTTAAGATTCTCTCCTTGTCTTTAATCTTAAGTAATGTAATTATGATGTGCCTTGGTGTGTGCTTCCTTGGGTCCAACTTCTTTTGGACTCTCCGAGCTTCCTGGATTTCCTGGAAGTCTTTTTTCCTTCACCAGATTGGGCAAGTTCTCCATTATTTTTTCAAATAAGTTTTCAATGTCTTGCTCTTCCTCTTCTCCTTCTGGCACCCCTATGATTCAGATGTTGGAACATTTAAAGTTGTTCCAGAGGTTCCTAAGCCTCTCCTCATGTTTTCGAATTCTTGTTTCTTCATTCTCTTCTGGTTGAATGTTTATCTCTTCCTTCTGCTCCCAATCATTGATTTAAGTCCCGGTTTCCTTCCCTTTACTATTGGTTCCCTGTATATTTTTCTTTATTTCACTTACCATAGCCTTCACTTTTTCTTCCATTTTGTGACCATATTCAACCAATTCAGTGAGCATCCAGATTACCAGTGTTTTGAATGGTGCATCTGATAGGTTGGCTATCTGTTCATCACTTAGTTCTATTTTTGAGGCTTTGATCTGTGCTTTCATTTGGGTCATATTTCTTTGTCTCAGTTCCCCTGTTAGTTCGGAAGGGGCGGAGCCTTGGATATTCACTAGGGCAGGGCAGCCCAGGTCACAGCACCTTGATGTTGTATGTAGGGGAGGGGCCTGAGAGGGAACAATATCACTTGCTTGGCTCTCAGCCGGCTTTCAGTCACTTCCCCCGCTACCCACAAGCAAATTGGGCCCTTTTGGTGCTGATTCCCAGATGGGTGGATTTGTGTACATTCTAGGGCCCTGTGAGTCTCTCCAGCAAACTCTCCTGTGAAGCTGGGGGTCTCTGCTGCTGCTGCAACTCCCACAGATTTTTACAGCCAGAGGTTTTGAGGCTTTCTTTTCCCATGCTGGAACGCTGGGTTGCGGGCACCTATCATTCCTCAGTTTTTCCTCCCAGTTTATCTGTGTGCAAATGTGGGACAACCTGGTCCTCCCATCGGCTTGCCGCTTGCTGCCTTGCCTACCTGGTCCTCCAGCTGCTGCCTTGCTGTGCGTGCTCTCCGCCCCTCCTACTGATCTGTATGTATGTTTTTTCTTTAACACCTTGGTTGTCGGACAACCATACAGTTTGATTTTCTTGCAGTTCCGGTTATTTTTTGTTTTTAAATTTGTTGTTGTCCTTCTTTTGGTTGTGCGAGGAGGCAAAGTGTATCTACCTATGCCTCCATCTTGGCTGGAAGTCTCTAAAATTCCTAAAGTATGTAATTCTGTGGTTTTTAGTGTACCTCTCAAATATGTGGCCATCACCACAATCAATTTAGAACATTTTCATCACCTCAGAAATAAACTTCTTACCTTTTATTCCTTTACCACACAGGTTTAAGCAACTATTAATCTACTTAATGTCTGTATATGACCCTGTGCTGGACACATGAACGGAATCATGCAATTTGTAGTCTTTTGTGACTGGTTTTTATCACATAGCATACTATTTTCAAGGTTCCTTCATGTTGTAACATGTGTCAGTCCTTCATTCCTTTTTATGGCATCGATTCGTCTGTTGATGAACATTGGGGTTGTTTCCACTTTGGAGCTATTATGAATAATGTTGCTGTAAAACATTCATGTGCGGGTTTTCGTGTGGACATGTGTTTTCATTTCTCTTGGGTATAAACCTAGGAGTGGGATTGCTGGGTCATAATAAGAACTGAGTGTTTAATTATTTGAGGATTTCTTCACATCCTCACCAACACTTGTCTCATTTTTTGATTATAGCTATCCTAATAGGTGTGAAGTGGTATTGCATTGTGGTTTTGATTTTCATTTTCCTAATGACTGACTGAGCATCTTTTCATGTGTTTATTGGCCCTTTGTATATCTTCCTTGGAGAAATACCTATTCATATCCTTTGCTCATTAAAAAAACGTTTTATTGAGTTACAAGAGTTCTTTATATATTCTCCATGTAAGTTCCTTATCATGTAAGTTACTATTTGCAGATATTTTCTCCCATTCTATGGATTGTCTTTTTCACTTGATGGTGTCCTTCGAAGCACAAAAGTTTTTAATTTTTTTTTTTATCCTCACCCGAGGACATTGTTTTCCCCCAGTACTGGTTAGAGAGAGATGAAGGCAGGGGCGGGGGGAGAGAAAGAGAAAGAAACATCAGTTGGTTGCCTTCTCTAACATGCCCTGACTGGGGATTGAACCTGAAACCTAGGTATGTGCCCTGACAAGGAATCAAACCTGTGACCTTGTTTTTCTGGTGTAGGGGACAATACTCCAACCAACTGAGCCATGCTGGCCAGGGCAAAAATTTTTAATTTTGATAAAGTTCAAGTGACCTATTTTTTCCTTCTGTTGCTAGAGCCGTCAGTGTTATATCTAAGAATCCTTTGCCAAAATAAAGGTCTGTAAGTTATTCTTGCAGGACCAGATAGAGAATGCACCAGAAATTAAATGTTGGAAGGGATCACCAAGCTGGATTCTTGTGATGTTTGTTTTCGTATTTAGCACTTAAGAGGGTATACCACACTCACCCTCCTTCTGACTTCCAGTACCTTTCCCACACTTTTAGTCACTTCCATTCTTCTGTGGTTGGGTGAGTTTGCGTTGCAAAATCAGAAGTTCCCTGGAGATGTTCATAACTACCTCCTTTCTCCAGCCTTTAGTACCATACATTTCAATATCATTTAACATTTAAAAAAAGTACCATCTTGCACTAAACCCACGTAAGCACTATAGACATAGGCAAAGATGAGGTTTCTTAGAGCAATTTTCAAAACAAAATAGAAAAATGTTATTCATAAAATCCTTTTGTTCTTTTATTTTAAATTTTGTAATTGTTAAAAATTATTTAAAAATCAGACACTACATAGATTTAGTTTTGTAAGTAACAGTTTTCCTTAAGATTACCTCTATACCCTCTACAATCTGGACCTCATTCTTTTTTCTTTTTTTCCAGTATATTCACATAAACATCACTATTATTTTTGGTTTTCATTTTACTCATTCACAGGGGCTCAACTGCCTCCCTTGCCATTAGCTCCTTGCTTTTGCCTCTCATCAGCCACCCTCCCCTGGGTCTCAGCTCAGGTTTCAGCTGGCACTCTCCAGAGATGCTCTCCTTTCGGAACTGGTGACTGATCTTATTGAGGGGAAAGTTCTGGAGACCTGTTTTTGCATACTATTTAGCACCTCTGTTAAAATTTTTTTTTTGGCAGGAAAGATTCCTGTCTTCCATGTTCTTTAGAAACTGTTTATTCCTAAATTTAAAAAATTTTTTAAAAATCCAAGAAGCCTAGAAGGATGTAACCAGTCTAGCCTGTAAGCCTGGATTCTTAGACCTACTTCAACAGTAATATTATGAAATATTTTTTACTGTTTTTCACTTTTTTCCTGCTGTTCTTTAATTTACATACATTTGCTAGTTATCTAAGAGGTCCCCCCCACCCCTTTTTTTTTTTTGCCTCAGAGTTGCTTTACGATATAACTGGGAGGACTTAAAAGAATACCATTAAAATTTAGGGAAGCCCTGACTGGTATAGCTCATTGGGCACCGCTTTGCAAAGTAAAAGGCTGCCAGTTCAAGTCCTGGTTAGTGCGCATGCCTGGGTTGTGCCCTGTCCCCTCTTGGGCCGTGTATGAGAGAGAATTGATTAGTGTTTCTCTCTCATGTCAGTGTTTCTCTCCCTCTTCTTTTCCCTCTCTCTAAAAATAAATAAATAAAGTCTTTTAAAAAATTCAGAGGAAAAATAAGATTTAAGTTGAACTTACTATAGCAAACAGCTGATCACCTTAAAAAGCCATTGTTTGTCATACTTGCTTCTAGCCTAACATAGTACTTTGCTTGTGGTAGATGTTCAAGCGTTTGAATGAAAAAGTAAATAATTTTTATCTTCTTGGCGTTAATACCTGTTTCTGAGTTGGGTTTTTTTTTGTTTTTGTTTTTTTTTTTTGTCCATATACCCTAACTCTCCTCAAATTTAAGCAATTAATAGTAGAAGCTCCTAAGCTTCAGCTTCTAAGCTATTCATGGTGAATCCCACATTGTAAGTCACTTAACATTTTTATTTTTCTGCATATGAAACAATTTTGAGGGAAAAATATGTTTTCCACAGTATACTTTTTGGCTGGAAATATCGTCTTATTTCTATAATAATGTGAATGTTAACATGACATGCATGATACCTGTCCCTTGAGCGCCAGGTGGGGTGGAAGTCTTTAATTTTTGAACCATTTAAAACAACATCTGAGCTTTGGCCAGTGTGGCTCAGTTGATGGGAGCATTGTCCTGTAAACTGAAAGGTTGCAGATTCAATCCCAGGTCAGGGCTCATACCTAGGTTGTGGGTCCCCTGCCTGGTTGGGGCATGTGCAGGAGGCAACCAATCGATATTTCTTTCTCTTCCTTCCTTTCTCTCTAAAGGCAATGAAAAAATGTCCTTGGGTGAAGATATAAAAAAAAGAACCATATCTGAAATTCTGGTTGCAGGTCTTTAGCCTCTTTGTTTTTTTGTTTCTTTCACGCCCACAAACTGAATAATCGTTTGTTTCTTGATCTAGGAACTCCGAGAGTTGGTATTAAAATACCGCGAGAACATCATTAACGTGCAGACAGCAGCAGACCACATGGAAGAAAAACTGAAGGCTGAAATACTTTTCCTAAAAGAGCAGATTCAGGCGGAACAGTGTTTAAAAGAGAATCTTGAAGAAACTCTGCAATTAGAAATAGAAAACTGCAAGGAAGAAATAGGTGAAGATAAAAGTGATGTAGTTTAGAATTGGAGGCACTAAATAAAACTTTTTTCTGATTATAAGATGTAATACATGGTCATAGAATGTGGAAACAGAAAAGTATAGGAAGGAGTTAAGTAAGGGCTCAGTCTGTTTTTCCAGATGTTCTGATGTAGCCAGTATTTGGGAGGGAGGGAAAAAACCCCAAAATTCAGTCTTATTAGGAGCTCTAATGGCCTCTCTTTGGCAATTATTAAAAGATGGGAAAGTCCATATTTGAACTCAGACCACTGGGGAGCATGACTAGTAGGTGACATTTCCTTGCAGAACTCTGATGGGTTAACAGACTTCTGTGGGGAATATCTCCACTGCATGCCTCAGAGGTAGATGTGGATATTTGATGTGGAGGGAGTTTATGATAATAGTATTCACTTACGTTAGACTCTGCCTTTCCCTTAACTTGATTATTATGCTCATTGGTTGGGGATAATTTTGAGAAAAGGGTGTTGGTTTTTTCCCCCATGTTCAGTATATATTTAACTTCTTTCATTATATGAGATTGAATTTATGGTAGAAAAGGGGAAGTGGTAAGAAAAAGATTTAAATTCACAATAAGAAATACTAACACTTCTCCCTCTTTTTTTCCTTCTAGCTTCCATTTCTAGCTTAAAAGCTGAATTAGAAAGACTAAAAGTAGAAAAAGGACAGGTGAGTTTCATGAGTTTCAAATTAATCTCATCAGCAACTTGTAGCTAATTGAATCTCACTGTGCTAGACCCAAGGAATAAAGTAGTTATGACATGTCTCTGCCTTCAAGGAGCTTCCGTCTAGTGAGGAAAATACAGGGGGAAAAGGGAGTGATGATAATAGAGACCATTATTGAGAGTCTGCTCTGAAGTCAGGCCACAGGTTGACTAGAGGAGGTACAGGGCAGACTGAGATGTGACTGCCGCCTGGAGTTTCCATTGTAGTGGGAAGACAGGCAAAGCATGGTTGTGACATGATACATACTTAAACCTACAGTAGAAAGATATACAAAATCTTTTACACATAGGAGATGATGTTTTCAAGCTGGCTTAGAGTTCTCAACATGGCCCCATTCAACTCTCTGGCCTCATTGTTCACTGAATGACCTTTGCCTCCCCCGCCCCTTCCTTCACAAACTCTTGGCGGCGCCAGGCCCCTCCTCTGCCATCTCACTCCAGCCCCATATTCCCTGAGCCTAGTTTACCATCACTCCCACACTTAATCCCTTGGGCCCAGCCGTCTATGAGTACCTCATTCAGACCTTCAGTTCCCTGAACTTTTCCTTTTCTTCCTGTTTTAGTGACTTCTTCATGGCTTTGCTTTCTTTCCTTCTAAGCTGTATCTTCTGTGGCTTGCTTCAGCTGGTCTTCATCAGCACCTGCAGGCCCCATGACTTTTGTCTTCCTGAGGCCCTCACTCGTTACCACCACCGCTGGTGTAATCCCGGTGTGCACCTGCTCTGCCTCTGCCCTAAGCTGCTGATGCCCCTGGAATGAATCACCCTGCACATTCTTGGCAGCTGGGCCTCAGATGTTGGCTAGCCTTTCACTGGGCCTTCGTTGTCTTCCTTCCCTCCCTCACAGTGGCTGTGTCAGACAGTCACACTCACCCCCCTCCCCGCCCCCAGCTCAGGTGATGGTCTTGTACCTGTCATCAGTGGGGCCACCTTCAGCTTCCTGGCCCTTCAGTTATTTGTTTCTCTTACTTTTCTTCCCAGCCTTCTCACTCCTATTTCTTCAGAGAAGATGCCCTGTTTTTGACCAGCCTTAATCACTGCACTTGTGCTTTGAATGCCTCACGTCTTTTGCAGATACCCTCTCAGTCTTCCCCTTTCAGTCATGGGCCTTGAACTTCTGCCTCATTATTAGTCTTTTCCATTACATGTGTGTTTCTTGTTAAGAGGAGAAAAGTTTCCCTTTGGATTACACTTCCTAAGTTACCAGTCTTCTTCCTTTTATAGCCAAGGTTCTTGAAAGAGTAATCTCTGCTGCCTGACCTCCCAGTCACTCCACAGCCCGTGCAGCCTGGCCTCTGCCTCCACTGTGCTGTTGGGGTTGCGCTAGCAGAACTTACCAGCACTCTAATCGTGTCCCATCCTTTCTGGTCCTACTGCTCTTTGGGTTCTGACTTCAGTTCTCACCTGGCTCACTAAAACAGCCTACTTATTTTGCTGCCTCCAAAGTTTATCTTCATAGTAAACCAAGGTGGTCTTAAAAAATTGTAAACAATGCCCCAGTCTGGTTTAAAACCCTCCAGTGGTTCCCTTTACTTCCAGGATCAAGTCCTTATTCCTTAGTCTCACCAGTTACAGCCTCTAAGGCCCCAGCACTCTGGGCTGTAGCTCAGCAAAAACTCACCACAGTTATTGGACACATTTTTTAAATTCATGTCATCTGTTCCCTCTCTTTGGAGTACCTCTCTCTACCTTCTCCTCCTTACCACCCCTTTATTTTCCCCTGTGAAATCTTTCATCTTAATAGGGGTCATATCATAAGGGTCAAATGTCATCTCTTCAAGGAAGCCTTCCCAACTTTTCTGGCAGAATTAAATGTTTCTTCCTCCATGTTCACGTGTCAATTATTTATTTACATGTCAGTCTTTCCTGATTTCTCCATCCCTAGGCCTTAGAGTATAGTAGGCACCTAATAAATGGGTAGTGAAAGAAATAGGTCTTAAAGAATAAATAGAAGATTCACAGAGACCAAAGGGTGAGAAGAGCAACGCAGCAAAGCCTGAGAACTTAGGCATCGTTCTCCAGGACTCAGGTTCCTCGGGGTGGCATGCTGTGACCTGCAGTGTCTCTGTGAGTTTCAGTTTTCTCCTTCTTTCACAGTTGGAGTCCACATTGAGAGAGAAGTCTCAACAGCTTGAGAGCCTTCAGGAAGTGAAAATCACTTTGGAAGAACAGTTGAAAAAAGAAACTACTGCTAAGGTGATATTTTTGTTGGTAATTTAATTAAAAAGCAGTGCTAAGAATGTAGGATCGCATCTTGCCTATTCAAAAAGTATATTGCTTTGAATATTGCAACCTTTTGAAAGTTGTCAGAACTTTGTTTGTAGAAAGGAAATGAAACGAACTGACCTCATTCAAGTTGGGTGAGGCCTGCACACTGCCAGGCCTGGGCCTGTGTCACAGGCCTCACGGCTTTCTAGGCGCTGGGCTGAAAGGGCCCTGTTGCAGATGTGGCCTTGCGCATAGCTAGATGCACTGCTTCAGAAGTGTAATTCCATTTGACTTGGTCAAAGACTTCATGGAACCATACGGACTGTCTAAATTTTGATTATTACAGTTCGAATAAAAGTGATGAAGCTAATTGTGGAGAAGGTTTCCTAGAAACAGTGTCTGTGTGGTCGGACCTTTAAGTGTAAATACTGTGCACGTGGTATTTGATAGTCCTTCGTTTACAGAGATGCTGCCATGTGGTCCTGCTGACATGGCGAAAGCTGGGGCTGCCTGGTGCATATTCACTGAGAATTTTCATATGCCTGACTGTCATGGTTGTCAGAGGAAGTCCCTGAAGTTTCTGTCCCGGTTGCTGTAGTAGCTAGTGATCTTAGCGGCTGCTTTTGATGATTAACCACTGTCACCAGGCTGCTGGGGGTGAGGGGTGACTCTGTGTGTGCGTGCAGTACCTGTGCAGCACTTCAATGCATTTTTTCTTCTGGCTTTCATACTCATTTCATTTTAGGGACCTAGAGCAAGGAGCTTAGGCAACTTAATACTCAACCATTGTTTTTTAGTAGTAGAAGACTACATGTTCCTAGATTTCCTAGGCGATTCTGACCCATGGCTCTTTGACATTAATCCTCATTCAAAACTTGTATTTTTTAGGTTACTATTGAACAACTAATGTTTGAAGAAAAGAACAAAGCTCAGAGGTTGCAGACAGAACTAGATGTCAGTGAACAAGTCCAGAGAGATTTTGTAAAGCTTTCTCAGACTCTTCAGGTGAGGCATTTGGGGAACTCTTAGAGCAAAAAGCCAGGGGTCTTGGTACCCAGGAGAACTTGCCAATCCTTGACTTGGCCACTATATTTGGCCACTTGATTTGACAATAGCTAGACGACTATACTATGGCTGCCTCTATCCCAGCCCAAACAACTGCCTGGTCATTCAAGCCAAAAACGAGGTGTGTTCTTCAGACTTGTGCCCCTTTTCCTCTCTACCTAGTTGGTCCTAAAGAGTCAAGTATAAAGTTCTTAGCCTGCCATGTAAGACCCTTCCCAACCAGGCCTATCCTTACATTTTTTTTCATCTCTCCGTCTACATTTTATATTCTAGTGTATTTTAACTACTTGTGGTTTCTTGCCCACAGCATGGTCGTCCCTCTGGTAAGCATTGTTGTCTCATCACCTCAACTCCTTTCCAGGCCCAGCTTAGCTTTTTCCTCTCCATAGAACCCTCTGTAGGTCCTCACACTGGGCTACAGTGGTCCCCGCGTACGCTGGTGCTCCACGAATGCCTGCAGTGACATTTAGTAAATTGTGCTGAAGTTCTTTTAATCCCCCACTCCGTCCTCCCCAGCCCCTGCCCCCCAGAACCGTGAGTTCTCAGGGGTCAGGGGTTGGGTCTCCTTCACTTCATAGTCCTAGCACCTTGTACTCTATCTGCTACAGAGCAATTTAGGATTTGCTCCATCTCATCTAAAACAAAGTAAACTTCAGAAAATTTAGGCAGGATCCATCTGCACTTAGCTCACTGTATTGTTTCTCCAGGTGCAGTTAGAGCGGATCCGGCAAGCAGACTCCTTGGAGAGAGTCCGGGCAATTCTGAATGACACCAAACTGACAGACATTAACCAGCTCCCTGAGACATGACACTGTCATAGCAGGACTCTAGCCTGCATATTGGGTTTTTAACTCATCTTTAGAGCAACATTAATTATTTAACTCTTAACTAAAGAAGTCACAAAAAAGGAAGACTGGAGAAATGTTTATTTCTAGTGGGAGAAGACTGCAGCACAGGAACAGCAAACAGCCAGGCTAATTTGCAGCAAAAAGACCTTTCAAATGGGAACACTAACAAGACTCCAGACTTGATTCCAGCAGGTGTGGATCAGATTTGGTGATGGAAAAAGTGCTGTTTCCTTGCCTGTTTATCCAACATTTCCCTGCCCTTAAGCAACATCCCAATAGTGTTTGGAATTACATTTCCTGTTTATACATGTTGGAAGAAATCATTTTTTTCTGTTCTCTAGAGTACATCAGTGACAGTATTCAGCTAGCAAGACACGTATAGTATGCTGTATGAATATTTTATATTAAAATATGAAGTTTGAGAGCAGGCCATTGGCTAGTGACTGTATTTCCTAGCTCAGTGTTTTTTTTTTTAAACTGTTTTAATTGTGTTGAAGGACCTTAAATGCTACTGAAACTTGCCTGAGAACTATTAAGACGTGGCAAACAAAACCAATTCAAGAACTGATTTAATTACGAGAGTCTGAAAACTTGGCTGTGGCTATATGTATTGGAAATTGAAGTTAAAGGAAAAGCACAAGAAACTGTATGGAAGCACTTTTTCTGCCACATGGATGAATTTTGTGGGCCTCCAGGTACCAGGGTCAAGCTAAATTGGTACCAGCTACTCTTTTGAAAACTTTGTTATTGGATTAGTGGGGGAAAAAAAACCAAAACAAGCTATGTCTGACATCTAGTATAAATTTATAAATCAGCTGCTTATTTTCAATTCAGATCAGTGGGCCTGAGTACTGTTTGTTTCTAAAGTGTCAAATACAAAAATGATAATAGCTGTGTTTGACAGATACTTATTTTGTATTTTTCTTTAATTTAGACCTGGAGTGTGATAATGCTTATGAAGTTGGGGGAAACCCGGTTGGTACATTCATCAGTTTGGAAATGTGCTTTGTCATTTGTGTGAGGTTAGATTCCTTTCCTGTGTGGAGAAAGCACCAGTGAACAGGCCGCTTTGGCTGTAGCCTACGAAGTGCTGCAGGAAGCATGAAGCGTTCCAGTTGGCTGTTTACCTGCTGCCGTGAGCCAGGGGGAACCTACGCCGTTTAATTCATGATACAGATGGTTCAAAAATGAAGCTGTTTTCAAATAATTTTTGTAATTGGTGTTATGTAACAGCAGGGTACTTCAAGGAACCTTACGGTAATTAAGTGGATTAAGTAGACTGGCTCATGGAAGACCGTAGACTACAATTCAGAGTGAATGGTCTTTGTTATAAATGAAGTGATTATGGACTAGCCCTAAAGATCGTTGCTCCCGTCTTCCACGGGACAAGATAAGGACTACATACCTCATTCCTTGGGTGGTGGTTGTAGTCTTGCATTCATGATTATGAACTTAAAAGTAAATACTAATTATGGAAATAGTGCTATAGGCCTGGCATGCATGAAACATTATTTTAATTGGTTTAAAGTCCTTTTGTATAAATTGCTGTGTGGTTTAGATAAAGGAAACATATATCCTTGTGGAGGTACAGGGAATTTTATTAATTCCAAAATATAATCAGTTTAAATTATGTAAGTGTGAGACTAGTCCCTTGGATAAGCCCTGAGCTAATTTGTTTCAGAATATTAAAAGTTCACACTATAACCAGGAAGGGTAAGTCACAATCTTTCTGAACTGAACTGTACCTCCTAGGGGACTGTTCTGCTGAGATACCTTGTGGATGTTTGCTTTTGTGAGGTGGTGCTGGGCCAATAAAATCACGAACAGGGGAGCAATTGGTGGTCTCTACTGTGGCAGAGGCAACCTGTTGGAAGCCATTTTGTTGAGAAAAATATCCTGGAAAAACCCAAACTATGGCTCTAGGTTTTGTTAATCTGTTTCTGGTATGAAACTCTGCCACTACCCTGGTAGGAAATACTTTAAACTGGGTTTTCTGTATAAATGGGAAACTGATGTGGAAGGTGGGATTTAGCCTGTCTGGACCAAGGAAAAGATCCCTTGGGTTTCATGAGTGTTCCTGTGCTTGTACTCAGTCTGCACATGTTTTTCTCACGCATGTCTAACTTGATTTACTTCCTACCTAAAACCTACCTTACCATGTGGCTTTTAATTGGCTGTCACTTGGCCATTTCTAGGCAGATACAGTATTACTTTTCAGAACCCATATGGGCAGGTATAAAGGGTTGTCTAAAATAAAGCTGAGACTAAAACCATATACTGCTTTCTCCCTTTGAGGTCCTACACTTGTACCTCATACTCAGTAACACGTATCCCTGGGGCGCAGTGCACAGCCAGACCTGGCCCTGAAAGGTAATACTGCCTGTCAGAGTGAGCCAGCAGTGGCCATGCAGTGTGGATGCTGGGCTCGGCTCTTAAGCAGATTTCAGCTGTAACTGTTTAACTGTACTGAAGGTGTGTCTTTAAGAAGAAAGTGTTCAAATTAAAAAAGCTGCTGCCTAGTATACTGTGTGGCCTTTTCCTTTGAATCTAAGGTCATATCCCTGTTTAGAGTCATGTTTCTGGTGCTGGTACTTTAACCTGCAGCTCTTAATTGTGATTTTGTTCCACTGTGGAGAAAACTCAGGGTTCATGTAGTCTCAGGTTTTTGTTTTTTTAAAATCCTAGGCCCTTGTTGAAAATAATCCTTGACTTGAGCTTATATACGAAGCACATTCCAATTTTTAAATAAAAGTATTTATTCAATAATTATAAAACAAGTATAAAAAATGAAGAACCACACCAAAGCTCATCCAAGTGCCTCTTTATAAATTAGATAATGCTGCCTGTTTTACAGTTCGAGCTCAAGCCTTCACCTGTGTCAACTTCAGGTATGATCTGTTCCTGGTGGTGTCAGAAGTTTACATGATTTCGGATATCATTAATTTGCTTCACCATTTCTCTTATGTGTTCACCCCTGTAAAATCATAAAGTCACTCACTTTTGGGAATACAACGACAAAGTAAGCCATTAATACTGATTCTTAAGGATTTAAGCTAGTTATTAGTAATGTTGAAACATGAAGTGCTTTGCTAAAATTAACAACTTAAGGTTGCAGATGGATAGGAACAGTACTTACTACGCATTCAAGGCTAATGGTGGCAAACAGTACTGCAACTGCTGGAGATACTTTTTTTTTTTTAAACATATTCCCTGGGGACTACCTTGGTCAACAAAATCTTAAAATAAAACCTTCATTTTTGATCTACCACAGTCATCTCTTAAGTCCTCATCTATCACAGGCTCCTATTGTATTAATCACTTGACATGCAAATGCTAAGTAATCTTATCTGGACAGAGAAAGGCTGATTTTGGCATATTTATTGCACAGGAGAAGCTACTTCATAAGTACAGCTGATGGACAGCACTACTTACTCCTCCTTCAGGACGGACTGAATGCACTTGCGCTGGTACGCACTGAGAGTGATGGTGGGTTTTTGAGGACTCAGTACCTTTTCCATCTTCCGCTGCTGATAGTCTTTTTTCATAGTAACCTAAATTATCAAACAGAACATAGATGTTTTAGCTATGGTTTATGACACATCTTCACAGTACTATTTTACATTTTATAAAATTTTTTGCAGAACAAACAAGTACAAAATTTAGCCACCTGCATCCATTCCCACCTGTTTGATGGCATTGCCCAAATGTCGAAGTTGATCAGGTATCAGCTGTAATTCCTTTTTCATATCTCTCTCACTGTCAGAGAGAACTGGCAGCTGAGAATGGAAACTGTGAAGTACTTTCTTCATCCTTTAGAAAAGGCAAGAAAATATCTCAGCTGAAGATCTCTGCTACTCAGGGGAACAGTCAGGGCTAATGCTCTAATTCATGGTGTGTGAAGGAGGCCCCGCAGGGTGGTTTGGGGAAGAACCGCTGCACTGTCTTCCTCGATGGACGCCTCAGAAGAGAGGCAGGGGGATGCTCCCTGGGTCCGTTTTCCTTAACACTGTTAACATCTTGGTACTTAACAGCATTAGTAGTATCTGAGCAGGGACCTGAGTGTTCTACAACCCACTAACCTGTTCATGATATCTTCTTGTTTTTCCTTGGCTTCCTCGTATTTGTCAGCTAAGCGCTCAGCCATTTCCCGTAGACTTTTCCTAATGCCATAAAAAACAAGACTCTTAGGGTCCACCTTGATGGTGAAGCCAGCTAATGTCCAGCCTTTTAGGGTAAGATACAGTTCCAGTCTCAGTGAAATTTTTTTTCCATCTAGTTTTGGCACTTACCTTTCCTCTCGACAATAATTGAGATCTTCTAGTTGTTTCTTTTTTTGGTCACATAGTAATTTGACCCTTTGAAAGCAAAAATAATGAAATTTAATTGGAAGCCAGGTCTAGGCCATTATACATGGTCAGCTGCCAGCTAGGAGCTGATGGTATGTGAGCAAAGGCCATCCTACCTCCGCTGGATCTCCTCCTTTGCCAGGTCCTGCTTAAGAATGTACTGTTCTCTGAACACCTGGGTGGCTCTGCTGATGAGCTGCAGACATTCTTCAGGAGGAGGGGCTGTATCTTTTTCAGATGATCTTTTAAAAAAAGTTTCTACAATTACTTTCTTTAGCTTAGTAAAACAACTCAAAATAAACTCAAGTCATAGCTGCTTTTTTCCCTTTTTATACTTTCTGTTTATCATTCTCAAGTGCCTCTATTCTGTCTATTCACTAGTGAATTAAATATGCCTTATGTTTCTTCTAACTCCAACATAGTAAACAGGATATAAAATTAAATAGCTGAGAACAGAAAGGATGAACAATGACTGGGAAAACAGAGAAGGGAACCAGTTCTTAGAACCCGTAACCCAAACCCCATACTTCAAAAATGCTGGATTTGCAACACTACGTTGCAAAATGCTTCTTATATGCTTTTCAAAGGAATCTGGGGTTTCAGCAAGAATTCGGAGGGGAGACTCTGCTACTTCAACATCTTCTTGGGTACAAAGCAGGGGCGGAGATGGTGGATGGACTGTGCTTCTGCAAAAAAAAAAAAAAAAATCATCTACTATGGAGTCATTTACTGTATTACAGCAAAGGATAGGCCACATTAGTCCACATCATAAAGTGTTACTTGTGGAAAAGTATGAGAATGCGTGTTTTCCTCCTTGAAGACAGTTCCTTGGGAAACTCCCCTTTATTCTACCAATGCGACCATTTGTCAAAACATTTCGGACTCTCCAAATTCTTTTTGTAAAGATCAAGGCAGCACAAGGATATAAATTCATCATGGACTCTTCTTGCAAGGGCTTGAAAGCCAGTTATTAACTGGAGTCACAAACATAAAGGAATCACTCATTTCCTAGATTATTGTCTGGGTTTGATAAAAACCAATATTCATCGAGATAACCACTGTAAATACTGTATTTACTTCTCTATAACTTGGTTTCTAAAAATTACATTCACTCAACTATTACAAATACAATGGCAATTGCAGAAAGCTGAAAAAATTGCAAACTTTAATAGCATGCTAAATGACTGACCTTGAATGCAACTATGATCTGGGAGTTTGTTAATAATATTACATTACAGACAACTTGTATTTCAGGGAGCTAGCAGAAAACAGAATTTAAATGTATCTCGATGACTAGTATTTCAGGGTTTTCTTCTCCTTTGGGAACCACATTTTTTTTCTGGAGTAACCTCATGTGAGAAGATCCTATTCACTAAAGGTAGGATGGGTTTTTAAAAATATGCTTGAGCCCTGGCCGGTATGGCTCAGTGCACTGAGCACTAGTCTACAAACCAAAAGATTACTGGTTCAGTTCCCGGTCAGGGCACGTGCCTGGGTTGTGGGCCAGGTCCCCAGTAGGAGGCATGTGAGAGGCAACCAATCAACGCTTCTCTCCCTCTCCCTCCTCACCCCCTGTAAAATAATTTTTAATTATTTTTTTAGAGATTTTATTGCTTTTGTTTAGTCTTGATAGAGTTTTTTAAAAAATATTTTACTTATTTTTGGAGGGGAATGGAAGGAGGGATGGAGAGAAACATCAATGTATAGTCGCCTCTCGTGCACCCCGCAACTAGGTACCTGGCCTACAACCTGGACATATGCCCTGACTGGGACTCAAACCGGTCACCCTATGGTTCGCAGGCCAACGTGCAATCCACTGAGCCACACCAGCCAGGGCAAGTCTTGCTAGAGTTTGTTACTTTTAGTGTAAGTAATAAAAACTGATAGTGAATTATTTTCCTTTCCAGATAGTATAAATTGTCAATCTTCAAAGAGCAAAGGAGTTCTTTAAAGGATAGTAAATTAATGGCAGTATTTCGAACTGTGTCAGTATCTAGAAGCACGTGCTTTGAAATGACACCAAGAGACTAGCGGGCAGGGCGTCTAGTGTCCAACACTGGTGGCTTGTTAGGGCCTCCTAGTCCTGCATTTGTAAAACTCAGAATGACATTCCAGGGCTGTTGAAAATAAAAATCGTGCTTATAGCTTAATATGAGTTCCTTAAGAAGGAAGCTTTCCAGAGTTTACGTATCCTATGGTGTCCCTCTGAGCCAGGCAGAAATGGAGAAATTAAAAAGTGAGTATGGACTCTGGAGTCAGTCCTGTATCTGCAGCCTAGCTCGATGTGTTACTACAGCATCTACTGACCCTCTCAAGCCCTGTTCCTCTTTTACAAGAGGGCTTAATGGTGTAGTCCTTACAGGGTTGCTCGGCTTATAGGCCCCAGTGCAGGTTAGCTGCTGTTTCACTTCTAAGCCTGGCACATTGCTAAAGCACAATAATCAGTAAATACAATCCTTATGAATGGAATTCAGTACTTTAGTATTCTTTCCCACACTTTGAAGTAAAGTTCTTAACTCTCAGCTAGCCAAAGAAGATACCAGAAATCATGCCTACAAGAAATCCTATCTACCTTTCCAACCCTCAAGTCAGAAGCCAAAGCAGAATCCATTTAAGTATCTTCAAGCGGGATTCCAAGGGCATTTTCCCAGGCTAGATTTTGCAGAATTTTTAAGTTGTGTGGGAAATACAAAATGGTACGTACAATAAAGGCCTTATGAGGCATTCGTAGGTACTGGTGATGCAGATCATTGTGGGCCCCAGAATGTCAGGGACAATCCAAAATCCTTGGATTGGAGCTGGCTGCCTGCAAAAACACACAGGGACAGTTAAGTTATAAAACAGCAAATGCAATGGATCCAAAAGTAACGACATGGCTGAGGTTTGTCGTCTTCTCAGGCCTGGGCTGTCAGTGACCTCAAAGGCGTTGACTTGGAACCTGTAACGCTTACAGCTTTGATTGATTTCAAACAAGCTGTCACTTAACAGTCTAGAGGCCATTCGACTTACAAGTCACTCAGGAACCCATAGCCTCATGGTGCTCACTGTAATCTCAGCAGTTACCATGATATGCCGACATTATGCTTCACCTGTCTTTGTCCTCAACTTACACAGAAGCCCCAACCTGTCTTTGTATGCCCAGCCCCGTGCCCAACCTGGATGAGGTGCTCAGAAACTGTTCACTGAAGAGAA